CTACTTCCGTACACTATGCTGAAAACCCTACAACTGCTAATAGAATCAGACAACCACCTACCTGCTATTATTGTGGATATACTGGACATTTTGTTGCCCAATGTCATACTAAGCAAAAGGATCAATCAGATCATGAAACTAAAGCTGAGATCGTTATAGTAATCGAAGAAATAATCGCTTTAGAAGCTGAGACAGAAATTACTCCAAATCTTTCGATTGAAGTAGATCCAGAAATAGGAATAGATCCAGAAGCCGTGATAGTTATCTGCGATATCGAGATTATTCTCGAGAACGAGATAGCTACTACTCCTATGCTGACAACTTTAGATGATCCTCCAATCGCTCATTTTCTCCTTACCATCGTAATGTCAACTACCTCGACCAAAACTCTAAACTAGGGTGTGTGGCATGGCTAAAAAATCTTGCATGCTACATGGCATGCCATTTGCCAAAGTTCGTGCCAAGATGCCACCCTGGCATGCTACCAAAGCACGTGACCAATATATTACAATTTGATTGGTCAACTATTTTGTCTTATATAAATTCTTTTAATATAACAATACTCTATATCTAAAACATTAAATTATTTATTTTGAAGGGTATTAATATAGACAGAATAATGTGCAATTAATTTTTAATAGTATAGCTCTATTCATAAATTGGTTCTTATAATTAAATATAAGCACAACTATATAGTTTTAAAATAAAATACTGTATTTGAATATAAACTCTAATTAATTTTATTATATTTTATAATATTTTTTATATTCGCATATCGTTTGTGAATGTATATACATTTACTATTCGTGCTTCAGCTATAAATTGAAGCTAATTAGGCTCAAAAAAATAAGCCTTAACTTTAGACCATGCTCAAAGCAATAGATTTAGTCCGGACCTAACCAATTTCTAACCATAGCTTCGAATAAAGCCATCCCATGGTATAGGTTAAAAAAAATTTCAAAAAATTATATTCTGCATAAACCACGGCTCAAAGCTACGGATCTGGTCTAAACTTAATTGGCTTCAAATTTAAATGCTCTATGGTATGGGTTAAGAAATTAATTTATATCACGCATGATTAGTAAAGTAAAATTAGCTAAAGATATGTTTAACCGTTTGGCTAAACTTCCGTTATGATATTAGAGCCTCAGAGATTCGGATTACGAAAAAAAAAAAAATTAATAGAAAGTGATAAATGATATGTCTAAAAAATTTATAAATAGGTTTAAAAAGATCAATAAAGATGAATTATTATCGGGTTAAAAATAACTTGATAAGATTCTTTACCTTAATATTGTTCAAGATCTAAAACTTATAAATAAAATTGTGTTAATCGCATGAATTTTTTTTTTTTTAAAAAAAAAAATTTACTTAACTCTCGCCAAATAATCCTGAATAGTCTTGTCTCTAGGTTATACGAAATTGTTAAATTTAATTAGAAGTTCCTTTTTACTGTTATTAAAAGAATAAATTACTTTTTCACGAAGATTTCAAATCTGTGCCATGCAAACATACATCAATATCAAAGCAGATGAACTTGTAGTTGACCATACAGGTAAAACCACTCAATTCCTATCAGGTTTTACTAATTCTGACATGAAGCTTCACGATTACTGCTGGACAGGATTTTGGCGTTCTTTGGAAAAAGGAGCAGGCAATAGATATACTGCTAAATGTACTTACTACAATACTGAACTGCCCGGCAGACCTGAAAAACTTCACACTCATATTCTTTTATGTGATAGTTGGCCTGTTACTGAGAAAAATTCTTATATTAAAAAACTAGCAAGTTTTATTCCTAATTCTCGTAAAAAAATCAAAAAGACTGATCAAGAATCACTTACGTATGTAACTAGGAATAGGTTTGGTCAGTTATTTTCTGTCAACGGTTAACAGAAAATGACCGACCGAATCTATCTCTATATGTAACAGCAATTTTTTTTTTTTACTGAGGCTAATAAAGGCTTTTGTAATGATACTGATGGTTCATCTTCTTCAATAATAAACTATCAAGAAAATTTAACAAATTGGTGTATCAAACCAATTTCACAAGATAAGCAAACTAGAATAAATAAAAGTTTGCTTGATGCTATTATTTATAGTAACCTTTCTTTTAAGGTTGTTGAGAATCCCTATTTTCTCAAATTTCTTACCGAATTGGCACCAAACTATAATCCCCCCTCTGCTAATATGTTGTGCGTAAAAATTCTCAACAATTCTTTTTCAACTTATCTAAGCAAAAAATTCGAAGTAATGGAATCTCTTTCCAATATTACTATTGCTTTAGATGGATGGCAAGACATATCTTGAAATTCGATATATGGTTTTATGGCTTTAAAAGAGGATCAAGAATATGTCTTAGATATTATTGATTTATCCGCCAATCGACATACATCAACTTTTCTCAAAAAACAGCTTGAAAAAATACTTAACTCGAGTTCTATTTCAGTTAATTCTGCAATTATTGCATGCGTAACTGATAATCCCAATGTCATGACTCGAATAAAAAATAACCTTAAAGAAGATTACCCAAATATCATTCCTATTCGCTGCTGCCTCCATTCCTTTAATCTACTCGCAAAAGACATTTCTGCCTTCCCGTCTTTACAGTTATTAAAGATAACCAAAAGCTTGTTAATTTTTTTATATCGTCTTATATTTGGCTCCATGCTTAACAAGAATGGCAGAAGAAAGAAGGACTACATCACTCACTTACAACATTTTGTGAGACTAGATAGTACTCTCTTGCAAAAGTCTGTTTGGACGTTAAAGCCTTTGAAAAAGGCTTTTATTACTGTATCGACCTTAGTAAAACCGGCAATTATCCTACAATAAGAATGGAAATTCAAAATATAATCACCAACCCCACCATTTTGCAAACAACGACACATTAATAAAAGTATTTATCCCCGTTGTTGATGCAATTGGTCGCCTTGAGTCAAGAGATTTCACCTTAGCAGATATCTTTAAAGAACTAATTAGCATTCATCATATTATTTCTACTGAAAATATTCCAATTGTTGGGTTCAAAAATCATGCTCTGGTGGCTCTTGATAAACGGACACGCGAATTTTCTGATCAGATTTATTTTGTTTCTTTTTTTTTATCACCTAGTCACAAACAAATAGCAATATCAAGACAAATGTCGGGTGATTTAATTGTTAGGGCATCCTTGGAGTTGGCGAAAGCCTGGGGTTTTGATAAAAAAGAAACAACACTTTTGTTTAAAGAACTTATCAATTACAAGAATAGCGATGTTCCTTTTGAAAATCAATATCCTGAAAATATTAATCCTAAAATTTTCTGGACCAAGTTCACAGGAAGTTCCCCACCTCTCCGGCGTTTTGTCATGAAGGTATTTGTGATTGTTCCACATTCAGCATCCGTTGAACATTTGTTTTCTAGTTTGGGACTAGTCAAAACAAAGTTACGAAACAGGATGTCTCCTGTTTTAACTGGAATGCTCGGAATGCTTTGCTATGATCTTCAACAAAGACTATCTAAAGTGTCAAAAGAAAAAGCTAAAGTAAATAAATATGAAAATATAAATAGTGAAGGTGCCGACTTAGATCTTTTTGAGGGAGAATTTAACGATAAATTTTTACAAATTAATGTTGAGACAGTAAACATAGAAATGGGTAATGAATTGGCAATAGAGCAGTTTTTTGATATCGGAATGCTTGAACGAAATCAAAAAGAGATAATTGAAAATGATCAAATTATTAATTCTCAAAGACCTACCAGTAATACTAATGAAGATTGGTCGGTTGATGATATCTTCTTCCAATATAATACTTGTGTTTGAATAGATTTACAAAAATCTATGTAAGTTTTTTTTTATTTTGGTATATAAACATTATCTTGATAAAAATTAATAAAAATTTTTATCATAATCTCAAATTTGTATAAAAAGTAAATTCTAACCTCAAATAAAGTAAACCCGTTGAAATTTAAAATTTGAAAAGGTAAAAAAAAAGTTTAGTAATAATTTTGTAAAAAATTTTCGAGTATATGAAAGAGTAAACGTACATAAAACCTAAAGTATAAAATAAATCCTGTAATAAATTTATGTAGTACTTTAGTGAAAATTAAATACGTAAATCAGTCAAGCCTTTAGTGATTATATAACCTAAGTAAAAACAGAAATACTAACTAAAACCCATAGCTTAGATCTATGTATTTTACTATTGGTTTGAGAGATTGTGGCAAGATTTAGAAGAGTATATATAAGTTCAGGTAGATCATGAAAATTTACATACATATACCGTTGATGAAGTACATAAAACTAGTTTAAATGTAAACGTTTCTTGCTAATAGAGAAAAGATTAAAACGCTATATAGTTTGATTAGCATTAGTACTAAATCTGATTTTTTGAAATTTACAATTTGATTGGTTGATTATTATATGAATTGGTTCTTCTTATATAAATGGCATGCCTATAGACAATTTGGGTTTCGGGCATGCTATTGGCATGCCACCATAGGCATGCCATGGTGGCATGCCTTTGACCTTCATGCCACACATCCTACTCTAAACCCTCATCACCTATGAACCAAAAGAAATAGGAAACCCTACTAGACAACCTCTCTATCTGAAGTGCTCTTTCTGCCCACTTAAGCCAGGAAGCGAAATCCCTTGCTGTCACTCCTGAACCA